ACTGACTCCTGCAGCCCTCAAATCCTACCCAAGACTTTTTCAGAGAGGACCTCAAACCTCCAGATCAGCTTTTGAGGCCAAAAAAGGTTGCAGGAAAGAGAGAGGAAAGATACAGGTTTTAATGCCGTTTTTCCCCCCAGCTGTGCTCCATATTGAATTACATTATTATATTCAGATTTGTAATACAAGAATAGACCTTATAACTGCGATAAAATTGTTGGCTGCCTGCTGTATCCCTGAGCTTCTGATTTTGCTTTCCTCTTATATGTGTATGTATGTGTGTGTGTATGTGTGGTGGAGGAGGAATGGCTCCGTGTGTGTGTTAAATATATATCTTTTTTTTTTCAAGGCTACTTCTTCGGACCGTGGAAACATTTCCTGTTAATATTTCCATACTACATCCAAGCAGAGCTTTTAAATGTAGCAGAAAGTGAAACATATAGAGTTTCTGTTTCCTTATTGCTATTTTTTTTTAAAAAAAAATGCCATTGGGGTTTTGTTTCTGTATTTTAATAATACTGTATTTTGCAGTAAAGAGAAACACATTCAATTCAAGTCTTAACTTTCACTTTTTACATAAACACAATATATTCAAAACATGTATGATTTAAAGTTGTGTGTGTGTGTGTGTGTGTGTGTGTGTGTGTGTGTTTTGAATAATGGTTCTGTCTGTTCGGATTCCGGTGAAGGCTCTGCCAGACTCATTATATGGTTATAGATGGCAGTGTTATGCTGCCCTCTAACGTCACATTCCATACAGTTCATCTCTGGCACTAAGAATCCTCTTTATGGAGAAATTCAGTTAACATCTACCTCTTTTCAATGTTAGAAGACACAGATGCATTAACTACATTTAACTAATCTGGTCAAAAGATGTTTTCTCATTACAGAACGTAATCCACAGAACATTGATTCCATTGAGTAATTATATAAAGATAGAGTTTATAATTGTAGCAAAGACCAAATCTTCAACAGGGTTACTCGGGTATAAAATAAAGAGAAAGATTGTTCAAAATGCCACTTGATTTCTGCATATAAAACCACAGTCTTTCGCAATCTGGTGTCCTCCAGCTGTCTTGTATTCTAACACTTACAGTAATCCATAGGTGGGTTTTGGAAAACACCAGTTTGAAAAAGAAAGATATTTTTGCTAAAATAATTTTATTCCAGCCATTTGAACCAAAGATTATATCATCTCTCAATGGACCATAAATGTTTATATTAGAAAATCAAGGATTTTTCTCAAATTCACTTCTCGTGTTTGGCTAGAAGCCAGCCAGTATGGCCACCACAAGCAGTGATGGAAGTTGACATACATATGTGGAAGTCACGAGGCAGGATGTTTGTTTTAGACCTGAGCATATCATATCACATTAGGAGGATTGTTAAATTGCTTTCATGAGATCCATAACCTAGCACCTATTGGTTTCTCCTCCAAAAATTAGAATGGAATTGTAGGTCAATCACTGAACTGGCATTGTATTTTCTGAGGGAAAAAAATGAATCGGGTATTTGGCTACCATTAGCATGTTACTTTTTTTTTTCTTCATTTTTGTCTTGCTAATATTTTATTAAGCAAGGAACATAAACAAATCCAGTCTTCTAAATCCTAGAAACCAAACTGATGTGAGGACAATTTTTGTGACGCAGTTACTTCGTAGCCATAATGTCTTCTGAGCCAAAAGAAATTCAATTTCCCATGAAATAAACAATTCTAGTAATCACAGCACCACTTTAAACAAACAAATTGTTGGTCATCAAATGGGAATTTCCCATCATTAGTTATCACTAGTAACAGCTTGATTATTGGAGCTCATTTCGCCAACTGATCTTCATGCCAGAAGCATCTCTGGGCAACATAACTTACTAGAATCTTCTATACCCTGAGACTGGTCTGGAACTACATTTCCCAGAATTCCCAGAATTCCCAGCAACTATGAGTTGGGAAGGGGAGAGTTACTCTCAACATATTAGGGAAGGCATCAGTGTAGACACTGCACCTAAGTTGATGTTTATGGGGTGTATTTTCAACTTATGGACCAATTTATCTAGGCAAGTAGAAATAGTATTAGAATTAGATTTAAAATTAGATTTAATTAGAATTAGATAGTGAATTCAATGTTCTCAATTCCAAGTTCATAACTTTATCTGTGATCTTTCTGGTGGAATGATTGTCTGTAGTATTGAGCCAGAAATGTCAGTGATGTGAAGATAGAAAACATAACCACTTTTTCTCATTTTTTAAAAACCTGCTGTCATGAATTACATCATTTGCCAGCTAGTCCTGGATCATTTATTATTGTTAGAATAGATCTCCCTGAAGCAGGGAATTTATGCGATTTAATTTATATAATGGCAAAACCATAAATAAAGAGAAGATGACAGAGTAGCAACCCCTGTCTCTGTTGCAACTCCAATTTATCATAGCAATGATCCAATTCAAATTTATATTTGCATATTTCAATAGGCTTAAGGAGATACAACCTAGTATTGGATCGTGGGTTTTTGTGAGCAAATAAAAAGCATCAAAGAATTGATCTCCATAGTTGATATTATTCTAAGAAACAACATAACTTTCCTACTTCAAATTGCATTTTTATTTCCTACTCTTTTATGACATTTTTTTAAAAGAACACTTGTCAAAAGCTTGTTTAACAAGAAACTCTGTACCCTGGCCAAATTGTCAAATAAAAAAATAGAACTTACTTGATATACATGGGACATAACAGTGTTGCAACAGGCTCTTGAACTATTATTCATAATGGTATGTCAAGCTGAAGAAATATACTGAAAGACTCTTGACCTGAGCTAAAATATTTCAGAACCATTCTCTATTCTACTATAACAGCCTGTATTACAGAGAGAAGCCACCTAGATCTAAGGAGAAATTTCCTGACAATTAGAGCAATTAGTCAATGGAATGACTCACCTCCAGAAGTTGTGGGTGCTCCAACACTGGAGGTTTTTAAGAAGAGATTGGACATTTTTCTGATATGGTATAGGGTTTCTGCCTGAGCAGGGAGTTGGACTAGAAGATCTCTAAGGTCACTTCCAACTCTGCTTTTCTGTTAATTCCTCACCCACCTCTAACCATGGCACCAATTTGATAACCAATTTTTTTCTGCTATTTCTTTGATATTTCTTTTGACTCATCCATGATCCAGTCACTTCATATTGGAAGTAGCCACTTGTGGTCACTACCTCTGGTTTCACCTGAAGGAATCACATTTTGTTTCTGCAGAGAGACATCTATCTGCATAATTCTCACCAATATTTTCTATTTTGTATCTTTCATGCCTGCTTTGTTGACAGGAATCATGCCATAGTAATGACTGTTGCCACTACAATCGTGTATGATTGCTCTAGTGAGGGGTGTCGGCATTACAGCGTTGTCATGTGATGTATTTGGACTTCTCTCCGCTTCACTAAATTGGGCATGGGCGTGGCCAGTGCATGACACATCTGGCCCGCGAGTCGGGAGTTTGACAGCCCTGCTCTAGTTTGTTTGTTCTCCATGGCTATCCAATAGCTACTTTCAGCCTCAAAGTCAGAACAAGATGACTTGATGTCTTGCGGCCACAAGTACTCTTAAAGGCCTAACTGAAGATGGAGTTCATGTGTGATTGGCTGCTTCCTTGTGTGTATGTGTGTGTACACACACCAAACTAAATTGTATGTTACTATTAAATAAATATCAAAAGAACAGACACATCACAAAACAGTTAACATCACAGTTAACTGTTCTTATATCAGTTAACTGAGACAGAGAAGTAATAGTAATAGAAGTGAATGCAGGTAATCCTCGACTTATAGCAGTTCATTTAGTAACTGTTCAAAGTTACAATGGCATTGAAAAAGGGTCTTATGACTGTTTTTCACACTTATAACTGTTGCAACATCCCTGCCAAGGTCCTGAGGATTTAATAGCTGCCAGCTGATGTAAGACTGTAAGATGTAATTTGTAAGCTGAAGGCTAGGCTGATGAAATAAGGTTGATTCATTGCAGCTATGGTATAACCCTTATAAGACTCTGATGGGAGGTCCACACAAGTCTATATATAGGTGGCTATAAAAGGGTGTGTTTTCTTCTTCTCAGCATGTATTCAGTTCTCTCCTTGTGTCTGTAGTGAATGGTAAGGGATTTTATCTCCTGCATGTGTCTATTTGTATATAGTTTTAAGTAAATGACTGTGTGCTGTTTTTTTTTTTTTTTTGCTCCTGGGTGTATCACATAAAGCTAGTCACGCTGTCAAAACTCTGACAATCCCCACGGTCATGTGATTATAATTTTGACGCATGGCCACTGACTCAAATTTATGACCGTTGCAGTGTCCTGGGGTCATGTGATCCCCTTTTGGGCCCTTCTGAGAAGCAAAGTCAATGCGGAAGCCAGATTTGTTTAACAACTCGGCTACCAACTTAACAAGAAAGGTTGTAAAATGAAACAAAGTTCACTTAACAATTATTTCACTTAGCAACAAAAGTGTTGGGCTCAATTGTTGTCGTAAGTCGAGGATTACCTGTGTTGCTATTTTTATTTTAAACCTGGGAAAGATCCTTATTCTGTCTTTTTAAAGGGGATGGGGAGTGAGAGGGCTTGTATAACAGTTCTACAATTTATAAATTGGAGTCTACTTAAACATGACAAATAGGGGCTTTTAGCTAGAAGTACAGCATTCCATTTCTATGTAAGTGTACATAATTGCTACAATTTATGGCTTTTCCTCTCTGCATTTTTTGGCGTCTGAGTCCTTTACTCTGCAACTTGCACTTGTCTGAATCACCAAACAACTCCCATTGTCATTTATGCTGGATCTCATAATGAAACCTCTGTAGCATTTACATTAATCAACTATTGAAATAGTTTCCTGTAGAAGCAATAATATGTACCATTTTTTAAAAAAGAAAACTTTAAGTGCTACATTTGCTGTATGTCGAGAAAGCATAAAAATAATATATTTAAAAAAAAAAAACCTTTATCGAGTATTTCATGATCTTACCAGAGGTCTGAGTTCAGGATGTGTCAGAATATATCCATTATTCGTAATTGCAAATGCGTATCCATGAATGCCTAGCTGCAAGGAAGAAGAAAAACAAGAACACATAGAATAAGTAAGTCCTTTGAAAAGCAACAGGTGAAGTGGCTGCAACACAATCCCAGCAGGAGATTATCTTGCCTGGCTTCCCACTGGGGTTTTCTAAGAAAACTTCTCTGAAAATTGGACCTTTTGTTGTTTTCGCTTCAAACATACAGTTGGTCCCTTTGTTGCACCGGTTAATTGCTTGTGTTTTCTAACTCTCAGCCTTCTCCAAAATGATCAGAAAGGCCTGAAGTAATAAGTATACTGAGTAGCCTTGGATTAAAGTAGATTAGGACTCCTTATTGCTGCATTAAGATGCCATCTACCAGTTCTTAAAGTGGCATAAAGGTAGGCCAGCTAAACATTTACTGCCCAAAGGCTGAACTTCATTCTTGCTAACATGGCAGGTAAATGTTATGTCCTTAAAAATTGAATGCACAACAAAGGAAGCAACTCGTGGAGCCCTCTGATTCCCCCCCCCCAAAAAAAAATATCAGCAGTCTGGGTGCAGGAACATCTACAAAATACTCTACACCCATATTTATTTTATTCTGTTACATTATTTTATTATTTTATTTTATTTATTAAATTTGTATCCCACCCATCTCACCAGAGGCAACTCTTTCAAAGAAGTCTCAACTTTTCAGGAAGAGGGGAGACTTAGTAACTTTTGCTTTATGTCCCACAAAACCGTGTGGGTGGGCTGATCAGAAGTGGTGGGAAATATGTAAAGAATGAACTGACACTTGGTGGGGTAACAGACGCTTTTATGAATAATTTGCTTCAGTAAATTGGAGAATGAGAAAAACAAGAGGCAAAATGTAACCCAATTAGAGCTACACCTTTGATCTTAAAAGTCTGAGAAAGAGTGGAAGAATGGAAAAATGGGCTGAGAATTTCCTGTTTTACCAAGCGATTTCACCTCACAATCACTAGCCTAGAGTGAGTGGGAGATCCGGGGGAACAGTTGTGAGGTACGGTAAGAGAAAAGGCAACCAGGCTTCCTAGTTTCTCCCTTAAAGTCCCACAGGAAAGAAACTGTAGCTTCTGACAAGCAGCCAGGAGGGACCCAAGCCATTTGGCTCTTAGAGCTGCAGAAGCAGAAGTCCAAGTTCATGATTTCTTCTCAAACTTGTTATCTCTCCCAACATCAAAGACAAAATTACTTCCATTGTTTCTTTAAAAAGTACTCTTAACATTTGCAGCAGCCTAATTAAAAATAGAGGATGCACTGTTATCTACAGCCTTTCTCAGTCAGCCTGAAGATGAAGTGTAGGAAACAGCTGATTGCGCCCAACTTGTGTACACAGATACATCTGAAGGTTAGTGCTCTATTAAGAGAGTAATTTAAAACAGGTCTACTGTGATTTCAGTATACTAGGAAACAAACTATCTCAGAGAAATGCTTTTTATCAAAAGAAGTAACAAGTGTTAACTTCTTTTACCTGTGTTTTAATTAAGCCTTATTGCCTCTTGATCTTTTGTGGTACAGGTAGGTCACTCCATATAATTTGAGGCTGTTTCCCAGAAGATTTATTTTCATTTGATTTTATGAGCTGAAAAAGTTGCATGCATTTTTGTAAACCAGGTTTGGTATATTTTAACTCTTCTTTTCTCTCTTATTTTCTTAACAACATTTGGAGTTACCGTATTTTTCAAAGTATAAGACACACTCCCTCCCCCCAAAAGTGGGTGGAAATGTCTGTGCGTCTTAGACTGCAAATGTTGCCAAAGCCCTGCCTTCTTTCTGGCCCCCACCCTTCAACTGTTTTTGCCCCCACCCTTCAGCTATTTTTGACCGCCACACATCACTTTTTTGGCCTCTGTGTGTCACGTATTTGGCCTCCACATGGTCCATTTTAGAACCGTTCCAGGCTGTGAGGCTCACCACAGCACATTGCTGCTGATCGCCGTCTCTGTGGGTTGCGTTTTTGGCCAGTTCCAGGCAGCGGGGATCAGTGGCAGTGAGCTGTGGCAGGCTGAAAATGCAATGCCCCGAGGCCAAAAACGTGACGCACAAAGGTGGCAATCAGCAGTGATGTGCTGTGCTGATCCTGGCAGCCTGGAACAAGTCTAAAATGAAGCATAAGGAGGCTAAAAACACAATGCCCAGAGGCCAAAACCACAACGCATGGGGGCCAATAATGTGATGCACAGAGGCGGCGATAGGCTGTGCCAATCCCTGCAGGCTGGAACAGCTGATTGCTGGTATTCTGAGAGGCCGATCCAAAGACCAATCAGCTGCCCGTGCTGAATCAGGCTGCGATAATGTGCTGTTTGCTGTAAAGATGCTAGCCAGATAAATACCGATAGATGCTGGTAGGCAGAGGCAGATTTTTTTCCCCGTTTTCCTCACCAAAAACTAATTTGTGTCTTATACTCTGGAGCGTCTTAAAGTCCAAAAAGTATGGTATTTATCGCTTGCACTTCTTAGAAGACAGGCAGTGGCAATAATAAATACTAAGCAGCTAACCCTGAGGAAGAGGTAGAGCCTGGTCATTTAGATCTGGTAGGCTTCTGGAATAGATGCTCTGGAATCTCCAACATTTCATTCTAGCTGTGGCACAGCTGGGCTGTTACACAATTTATTGACATTGGATAATAAACACAGACCAGAAGTTTAATTTTGGGATCTTTGCCATTAAATTCAATGGTACTTACCAGTGCATAATTCATTTAAAACATTAACTTAAAGTAAGTTAAAAAAACATATTGGGGACATTAATACAATTAATGGACATTAATACAATCAAGTGACTCCAGTGGTATTTCATGAGAAAAGTATTCCGCTCCTCTGCTCGCAATAGAATACTTTATGTCACTAAACTTCAAAGTTTGGGCCTGGACAACCTAGAACTACACCGCCTACGGTCTGACTTAAGTTTAATACACAAAATTATCTGCTACAACATCCTACCTGTAAATGACTACTTCAGCTTCAACCACAAAAATACATGAGCACACAATAGATACAAACTCAAAGTAAACCACTCCAAACTCAATTGCAGAAAATATGACTTTGGCAACAGAGTGGTCAATGCCTGGAACGCACTATCGGGCTCTGTTGTTACATCCTCAAACCCCCAAAACTTTAACCTTAAACTGTCTACCGTGGCCCTCATCCCATTCCTAAGAGGTCTTAGGAATAAGTGCACCAGTGTGCCTACTGTCCCTGTCTTACGTTTCCCATTTATTTGTACTCATTTCTTATGTATATATGTATACTGCTTACACTTATATGTTTATATGTTATATTCATACTTATACTTGTTTTCTCATACATGCTTGACAAACCAAAATAAATAAAATAAATAAATACATATTTTTAGTTTGAAAAAGAAAAAGACAAAGAAGACTTGATATTTGGGCTGCATTCCCTAAATCTCCAGAATGCAACAGCACAAATTAACAATGCAGCTTGTGCTGGATGGCAGGAAAATCACTCCTCTCCACTCCATATTCCCATTGGAACACTGTAAGATTTATGTGGGAATTTTTACTGTTTTTCTCCTTCTGAGTTCTTCTTCTTCATGTTATAAGGCAATAATCGGATATGAATAAAAATAAATTTCCAATTTCAGATCTAAGAGAGCTATGGGAAATAATCTAAAATGATGTGGTGTTATATTAGCCCTAGAAGTTTATGCATAATCAAATTTAGCACTATACTTATTTTTCTGAAAATCCCATTCTATTTGACAATGCTTCTCTTACACAGCTGAATGCACTCATTGATTGCAATAAATGTACCTTCAGATCAATGATGTGCAGTCATTAAAACATCCCTTGGTGGAAAAATCACTGTTAATAGCTTTCACAGATGTTCTGCATAACCCAGCTTTACCCCCAGGATGCAGAAATGATCTAAAACCTGCTGAGAGGAGGGTTTTTTTTCCCTCCTTGTAAGTTATTTTGTTGTGGATTTTTACACAATGAGAATACAGCTCTTTCTAAAATTCTCTGATTAAGCATAAAAATGATAAGATGTTTCAAAACAATGTTTAGCTCAATGATTTTAAGCTAACCCACCTGTCCTGATCAGGCACATTTTAAAATAGTGATGTCCACAGAGTGAGGTCCAAAGCTACATTAAGGCATTCTTATTTTATTGCCATTTACACCAAAGAGCTGGAATTCTGGTAAACTGCCAGAGTATAGAAGTCTTAATAAAACTGATCTTTGGAGAAACTGGAAAAAAAAGTATTAAGAAAAATTTCCCAAATGCGAAAGAGTTTATGTTTAAAAACAAAACTCCTTTAAAGGATATGAGTAATCATTTCCATGTAGTAAACTACAATGTGATTTCAAATCTAAGGTATGAAAAGGATTTTCTGATTCCATGACAGTATTTTGGGATGTGATCTTTAACTGTAACATTCTCATACAACATTTGTGCTTTATTTTTCATAAGAAGTTAGCATCTATTACTAGATCTCACAATATGTCAGTTGGAAAAGGGAAGTTGATGCTGCTGAAATTTAATGGAATTTGATGCACCATTACAGACTGAGCACATGTATTCAGATAGTATATAACCATGATAGTGAACCTATGGCATGCGTGCTGGAAGTGGCATGCAGAGCCATCTCTCTGGGCAAGCAAGCCGTCACCCATTGCTCTTCCCGATTCTGGTGCACCGGCCAGCTACTCTTCCCATGCATAAAAACACCTGCGCACCGTCCACTTGTTCTTCTGGTGTGCATGCACGTGCAAAGACCAACTGGCTGGTGGATGCTCTTCCAGTTTCCGGCATGTGCATGCACAAAGGCATGCTCCCATTTCAGCACTCGGTGCTGAAAAGATTCACCAACATTGGATGTAAGATCACAGCCCAGCAGTAATCATGTCAGTCTTGTGCAAGATATTGCACAGTGGCTTCTACAAGTAGAATTGACTTGTTGCTTCTGCTAGTTTTGTGATAATAGCAATCCTTTTCATAGAAGAGTTTCTTTGGAGCTAGCTCTATACATTTTTATATTTACAATTCTACAAATGCAATTAACTTTGATTGTGTAGCAGTTTACAAATGGGTAAGTTACCTTGTATTTTGGAATTGCTTTCAGAAGTTCTTTCACTGGAACATCTGTGCCCACAACTCCCAGGAGAATGCCTCTTGATCTCTATTTTAAAATAAATATATGTTTAATATTGGGTCAATAAGCAATTAAAATCAACGGTTTCAGCCAATCAGTTTAATCCCACATGGATTAAAACTGCACCAAGGAATACAGTCATTCTCCTTTATTGATAAAGATCCCTGTAGGTAATCTGCCTGTCCAAGCACTAGGCCCATGTGAACCTGGGCAACCTCAAGTCTCATCACTGCACTGGTGGCAATGTGGCAATTCCCATACAGCATCAGGGAGGAAGACTTCTTCCTTGAATTTCGCGGGTTATAAGTGAAACATCTTGAAAGAAAATACAAGAAAATCCAGTTTGCCTCCTGAAAAAGCACCTTTGGGACTTCCTTGGAAGAACCACACTGAAAGATACTTGGGTGAAGTATTAAGTTAAAGTAAAGAGCCTTTCTGAGATGTTGCATGGACCTAACCCAAATCTCCAAAATCGAGAGCCATTTTTTTTCTTCTAATCCTGGAAAGAAAAGCGTAGATGATGTGCAACATTTCCGCTGATAAGGATGCTTTCTGTTAAACTCTTTGAGTCTGGAAGTGTATCGTGGAAAAATGTTGCATGGAACTATGCAATTTACTTTGGTTTCTCTTCAGATCGTATAAACCTCTCGCCTTTTATGGAAATATATAACTTACTTCCCCAGCCGCCTGATCCTGCTAACTGATACCTCAAAGGGAAGTATTAAGTAAAAAGCAGTTTAAAAAGTTAGATATGAAGCAGAATGTTAAAAACATATTAAAACTTTGTTGAACTTATTTTTTCCTTAGGCAACTTTATACCATAAGTACAGACATTTGTTCTAATCAAGAATTCTATAGGAACAAAAACAAAAGTGCATGCATTTGTGTTTATGTATATATGTATAGTTGAATGTGTATATGTACAGGGTGCTACTACAGGCAAGGGTTTTACACAGACAGATAGTGTATAACGAGTTCAGATGTTTGAGACAGAATGCAAATAATCTAGGAGCAGTTAACATGCTTACATGTAATTGAAACAAATAATTTTCAAACTTTTATAACAGTTTTTAGGTTTTATATCCTGTTTGATATATTCCCTTTCCCTTTTACAAGCTTCAATAAACATGCAAATAAAGAGCTTGGCATTCTCAATTTTGTGCTTCATGAATTCATGACACTATATTTCAAAAAGTATTTAATGCTCATTCGTATTAAAAGTGTGTGCTTTTATTTCAACAGCTAAGTGCAAATATATGGGGAAACAGCAGAATCTAATAGAAATACCCATGATTTCATCAAGCCATTCAAATACTGTATGTGCTAGTTTAAAAGCTTTCATTTTCCAGCTGATGACTATGGGAATACTTACAGTCTCATTTTGCTTACTAAATACTGGCATGGCAACAGTGGTCATCAAAACCAATCCCTGATCGTCAGCAAGCTATGTTTTAAAAAAGAGAGAGATCAAGAGAACACAAACTAAGGTCACGATCAAGCCACAGCAATGAAGACATTCAAAGGAAGAGACTTCTGATTTACTAAAATAATAGCATTTAAATATAAACCTAGGTTGCATTGTTCCGGGGCACTTCAAAAGCACAGGCTAAGGCTCTAATAAAAAGTCTTCTCTTTAAAAAAAGAAAACACTTGGTGATAGTTTATTCATCTGTTGGATATAAGATGCAAATTTTGTATTCATTTTCTGGATATTTGGTTTCTTATAGGAAACCACATCTTTCCCCCACCCTCTAATAATCACACCACTGCAATAAAAAAAAACATGGGGCATTAATGACATCAGTCTTCAGCTGGTTTCTGCATTCTGTTATTGAGGAACAGCATGACCACACAGGAATCACTGTAATTTTGGTAACCTTGAATTCTCAAAATGAGCAATGTTAAAATGAGTAGATGATAATCTTGCTAACTTCTGCAAACTCCCGGCTCACATATTGCATTATTCAGGAAAACATAAATGTCCGACAAATTCCAGATAAATAGAAAAGCATTTCTGCACCCAACTCCAATTTGGTTTCCACTGTCAGTCAATCTGAAGCTTGGATCCGTTTAAGATATACGTTGTAATTAAACGTGCAGTAATTCCATATTAAGATTGCAAGTAGCTGATATTAAAAAAGGGGGAATCTTTTCTTCACAGAATTAATGGTTGATGAATTTTTCTGAAGCTGTTCCTAAAATATAAGATAAAGTTTTTCTTATATGATTTTCCAAGTCCCAGGAGGTTTGCCTGGCCTTAGTATGATTTAGGAATTGCAAATGTAAACTATATTGTGTGAGACAAACACGCAACTAAAAATCCATGACTAGACATTAGATACGTCACTACAAAATACATATGCAAGGAAAAAAAATTACTCTTTAATCTTCTACTACCAGCAATACGATTAAAATTAAAGTGTTCACATACAGTATGTGGGAAAACATTTCTCTAAGATTTTTTATTGCCTCAAGAATTTCCTTCACACACAATTCCTACATAGGTCTTCCACAGCTTCTTCCATCCATTCCATTTATTTTTATTATGTCCCCAGCTGGTAAAATCAGCAGGTTTTGTTGCTTGCATTATTCCAACTAGAAGCATGAAGTTGTACTTAGGCATCCCAAAACAAAAACTGCCCATTCAGAAAATATTTGTATACGGTTGTTTATAAGTACAAATGATGTTCTTAAAATAATTGCTGCAATGTGAATGTAAGTAAGTTTAACCATGTTGGGAATGGTTTGGATTAGGTGACCTAATCCAGAGAAACATGAGGGCTTGAGTTCATTCCAAGAAACCAATATGAGTAACCATTGTAATTCACATGAAGATAAAGTGAGGGAAGGAGAAGCATGTTCTCATGTAGATAAGATTTTGTGAGTATAGCTGTATAATAAAATTAGTTTTATATCTATATGGCAATGGTTTCTTAATCTGGTCTACCATATAGGGCTGACATCAAGAGCAATTCCAAAGTTATCCTTGGCCCATGATAATGTAAAACTGCCTTTAAAAATCCTTTTTAAAGAACAAGTTGAACATTTGAGTTTAGTAGGAAGAAAGAAGGAGCAATGTTGATGTTCTGAGACATTTCTAAATTTTTATGTTGAGCTTCATCTGAAGTCATCTGAATAGCTGCTAACTGCAGAGGTTGTGTCATGACTAGCTACTTTCTACTTGCCCAACTTCAGGGAGGAATAAATGCAGTTCCAACTGTGGTCCTCTAGAAAGTAAACATGAGGATGAATGGACATGAGTTCTCAACTGGAAGTTTCAATATTTGTAATATGTTCCTTTTTTAACCAGAAAAAACAACAACACCTGACATACAGTATATTTGTAGTAAGTACAAACTGGTAGAAATCTTCAAAGAAAAAAATCAAAGGACTGCAGCAACAAATGGCTATAGTTTAGCTGATGTGAAAGGATAAAAGATTTTTTAGTTTAAAGAAAAGAGATACTACACAGACTCTAATAGTTGATGCAATTCTCCATAAGACAAGAAGAGGATAAGTCTGGTGCACAAAATATTCTGCACTGTGTCAACCCAGAAAGAGTTTAAGACCCCTGCAGCTAAAACATATTCTTAACATTTAATAGAGACACTACAGAAGAGAAGGAGACTTGGTGACTCTCTAAATTTCAGAGAAGATGCCTTATAGGAAAGAAGAGTCACAGTGGTTGGTGAGTCACTCCTATAAGGAATGTATACAAATACAATATGCAGTATGTCAATTGGATTCACTGTCAAATGTGCTATCTACAAGGAGCTAAAATCAGGATGTAATAGAATGACTTCCAGGAATTCTCAAGCATAATTATCCCCTTCCTGTTAATATATGTGGGAACCAGTAATACTTCAGAGAACAGCTACAACTACTGGTATATCACCAAAGACTTTAACAAAATTTTGAAAGAAAGGTTAAGCCCTGGGAGCTCAGGTGATTCTCAGTTTATGGAAGAGATCTGAAAAAAAGGAAGAGAAATATTGCAAACCAATGACTACCTACCCAAAAGATATTGACAGAAAAGATTTTACTCCTGGGACCACAACTTGAGTAATCCACATGATAGTCTGTGGGCAGGAGATGCATAGAATTTCACAAAGAATGATTAAAACAAATATTTAGTTTCAATATTGCTAGTTTGATTTAAAGGGGACATCAAATCCCATGAGTGTTGGAAATAAAAAAAAACAGAAATTAGGACCTCTGATGAGCATTTGCACATAGTAGAAAGTAGGGTCATTACACAAATGGGTCACTCATTAAAATATCAGAAGGAATACTGGCTCTTAAACCTTGTAGTTTTCAGTATCTAAACAGCAAGATTCAGCATGTGGGAGTAACAAGAGAAACCTAAACTTTTAGTATGGAAAATTAAATGTGACTTAATTATTTTAAGAGATTCACTAAGATGATTCCCTTGAAGGATACAATTTGTTAAAAAAAGCAAAATGAGAAGAAACAGAAAAAGGAGAGTTGCAATAAATGCTGAAAATGTATATAAAACGTTCAGAAATCAAAATGAAAGAACTTGGCAATGTTGCAGAGGTTCAAATAAAAACAATACTGTTGCTGGTGTTTATTATTTCTATTTATTCAAATAGCAATAAAAACTAGCTGGTGGCTTGGCCCAAATCCTATGTATTGGTTTTGAGAAATCACGGAGAGTGTATGAAATACTATATTACTCAGAGCAGTGTTTTTTTAAAAGAAGACCCAGTAAGTCAGTCTGACATAATATCAGTAACAGAAAGGATTCTAGAATTGATCGTCAAGAGATAATCTGTGACCATTTGAAAACAATGGATAATTGCAAGCAATCAGAATTGGTTTGTCAGGAACATATTTTGCTTGAATAGCTTTATCTTATTTTTTGATCAGGGAATTTTCTTAATAGAGTTTAGGAATGTTGTAACTGCAATATATCGATTGCAGCAAAATATTTGAGAAAGAACTTCCTGAAATTGTACACTCCAAACTAATCCAGTGTAGGATGGATGGCACCACAATTAAGTGAATATAGAAGAAACAGAAATTGTATTAAAGTCAGGGGTGAAATGCTACAGGTTCAGACCAGTTCGCCCGGTAGTAAAAATGCTACTGGTTTGCCCAAACAAATGTTTTTCCCAACAATCAGTTGTGATGCGTGATTTATATTTTCTAGAAAACAGGATTCCTGCTTTCTAGCTAATCTAAACCGCATGGCACAGTGGATTCCCCTCCTTGCTGTTTACTTACCTTTGCAGGCGGGCTTGGTAGCAGGCTTCGTCCACCCACCCGGACATCATCATGTCTGTTTTTCACCATCTACGCATGTGCGAAAGATACTATACGTGCGCGCACTGAACCAGTAGCAAAGGTATCAGGGGTGGATTTCGCCCCCGATTAAAGTGATCTCATCAAATTAGAAAATTGATTTCAAATGAAGGTGCAGTCCTGGATCTTTTTACTCTTTACTGTTTTTATTAAAGGACCCAGAGGCTAAAGGTTAAGACATGCCTATCTAACTTGCAGGCGTTCCAAAACTGTCTGGGACAGTTAATACCTTAAAAAATAGAAATTAAAATATAAATGAAGTGCTCAGTTGAGGAATGAGTTGAAAATAAAATAATGAAACTTAACAGAACATTCCAATGTTCTGCACCCAATAGAAGTAGATCCTTTCCTACTGCTATAGTTAACTAAGCAATCAAATAAATTTATATGGCCTCCCAACTCACATATGTTGACACTAGGATTAGGTGGTTTATGAGATTTTAAAAAAATCCTATAAAAAATCCCACCCACCTACAGCAGTGATAAATGCAATCGTACCAACCACTTGATTGGTTCCACATAGCCCTGGGGGACGGGAGAGGCAGGCCTGCACACAGAAGCATGTCTTCAAGGCCTTCTGGGAAAATAGCAAAGTGGGAACCAGTTTTCTTTCTCATGGAATATTTCATAAGGAAAGAACTACCACTGAAAGGCCCCTTTTCTTGGTCCCACCAAATGTATTTTCCTAGTATATGGAACCTGCAACATACCCTGCTTCCCCTCCTCCCCCTGGTGGGTCACTAGATCTAACTGGAGTCCTTCAAATACCTTGGCTCCAAGTCATGTATGGAATTAAATATGATAACAAGCGCAATTCTTGCAAAAGAGTTGATGCCTGAACAAATCTTCCATAAAACTATGCAGGTTGGTATATTGTGAACCAACTGAAGCTTCTGGATAGTGTTCAAGGACAGCCCCATGTAGAGCACATTATAATAGTCCAAATGAGAGGTGAACCAAGGCATAGATGATTGTGACAAGGTGTTGGTCCAGGTAGGGGTGTAACTGGCCCACTTCTGACAGGTCTTCTGGTCACACCTTGAGTAGAAGTTGCAAGTCCAAGAGAATCCTCAAATTACACACTAGGTCTGTCTGGGGCAGGGCAACTTCATTCACAAT